TTCTTTATATTTTATATATATATATAGTATATATTTTATATTTAAGGACGTGTAGAATTTATTGTTTCATCCTATTTTCTGTTATAATTTTCAAAATGCAATAATTTTAAAAATACCGTTTATAAAATATATATTTCTCCAGATTCTATGATTCTTCTTCATTTTTAAATATTTATAAAATATTTATATCTTATAAGATATAAAAAAGTGAACATATATAAATATATTTAATGGCAATAATGATGTGATAAATCATTTTTAATTCAAAAATACTAAAATTAAAAATTTTATTTGATACTAAAATTATTTTTATCTAAAAATTCTTTATAGATTCTGCGATTTTCGACTTACAGAATCTTTAAATTCGCCACTGGTTTTACGAGAATTTTGGCCACCAATCGATCGATCTATCTTATGTGATGTGCCACAGAAATGATTGCAAAAAGTGGCCGAGAAACGGTTCCGACGACACCTCCCGCTGTGGCATGAATGGCGATCACGGTTGACCCCCTACACGCGAGGAAAACCCCATTTTAAAGCGAGTAATCGCGATAACGCGTCCTTATCTGGAATATTTAAGTGTTCCATCAGCACGTCCGGCGCACGCGCATGAATGACTGTATGGCAGTAGACATCGAGAAGAATATGTTGAAGGACAATTGGAAAGTGGAGGTCATCAACCAGCTGTGTCTAAGAAGATAGATCTCGATACATAAATATGCAAGAAAAAAAATCGATTTTACTGAAAGCTGGATACAAATCTGGAAAATAATTTTGTTGAATCATCAAAATAATTACGTATATCACTGCAGATATCAAAGGAATAATGGCAACCATTCTCATGAATTAAATAACCTTTTTGTTACTTTTAACCTCCCCACGTGTGTTAAAATACAAATCAATCCATTTCTGTTAGTTTCAAAGTAAGCAACATCGGATGTTCAGATTAACGTGCACTTAAGTAAATAATAAACTAAATTTGAGTCAAATTTAATACATTTTATTCAATTAAATCATTTAACTCTATTACTTTAGTTAAATTAACGATATATTGAATAGTAGCGACCTATAGAAATAATTAAAAATAATTCAAATTGGATGTAACCTAACATTATGAATTTAAAGGTGATAGAGATTTCAAGCACGGTGATCAATGCCGCAAAAAAAAAGTTTTGACATTCTAGCAATCAAGTGTCTTTATTTGGTGGTCCAACAAAATTATTGTTAAATATGTATCTGGTTAAATTTTTAGATACTCCAGCAAAAAATCTATAATATCTAATACAAAACTAAATAGATGCATTTTTATAGCAAAAAAAAAAAAGAAATTACTCATAAATTATTTCACAAAATTATTTTGTAAAGAAAGATAAAAAAATCTTGCTGAGTTTTTAAAAATTTTTCTATTTCTTCCACTAGGACATAATATAGCTAATAAAATCCGTTCTCTCTTCTCCCATAATGCGTAGTCGAATTAATAATTTTACGACTCGTCGTGGTAATCGACAATCGATATAATAATAATGATTGAAAATTAATCTCCCAAACGCACTTAACAAAAGTGGAACAAACGGATTAATATGGATATGGACATGGACACGCAAAGTAACTCCGCGAATAACCCCGCAAATGAATATTTAATATTGCCGGAAGTCATGTATGGAAAATCATGTCGATCGAGGAGCGTATCGCTCCCTTTTCTCTTCCCTTTTTCTTCTATTTCCTACACATATATTTTCGTAGTTACCTTCCAAGCAACTTATGATATTTAACGATCTCAGGAATGCGTGACGATTCCTTTGACTTGCTTTTCAAGCACGCCGCATCTTTAAACGAACATACAAACAAAAGTTCAATAAATAATACAATCACAAATGTTTTCGTCTAGTATACATATATTATTTTTTTAATTTATTTCGTTGCGAATATATCAATCTTGCATTTCGATCGCGTTAAAACGCTGTTTCTAATGCATACTTATGCAGTTATTTATATAATATCTGTATATCTATTTGTTTACATAATCGTAAGGAATTTACTAGAGTAAATTAGAATAAAATAAAAAAAAATGTTTAATAAAAAAAAATAAAAAA